ACTGTCCAAGAAAACGACTTTGTTGCCCGGGAAAGGATGGAACCTGTGAGTTCAGGGTCTCAGGTCTCTTTTGCTCCTCAGGATATAGGGCTCTGTGGGGCTCAGCTGATGGATGTTAGAGCCGGACTTCAGGAGAAATAGAGCAAGGGACTTGAATCTAGTAGGTGTGACCAGATGAGCAGATCTGGAGACTCAGAACCTCACAGGCAGGGTTAAACAGGAGCTGTCTGGGGACTGGGACTGGGCTTGGCTAAACAGGTCTAAATAGAACTAGCCAAAATCAGGCTGGCTAGGTGTGGCCGGAAGTGGGCCTAGATGGAACTGGTAGGCCAGATAGTCAGAGGCCTGGTCAGCAAGCATGGGTCAAGACAAGAATCAGATGAGGCAGTTCCTGGGGTTGGGGCAAGGACTGGGGCTGGGCCTTCAGCTCAGAAGGTCAGGGATAGGGCAAGCTTCAGGAATGGGGTGAGGCTCAGAGTTGGGGTAAGGGTCAGAATGTTCAGTGTGAAATGGTTTTTGGCAATCTGAAGCAATATTTTTACATTTTGAAGGGGTGGCTGTTAAAATGTACTGCTTTTTACTGAAGTTAGCAGACTTTCAGGCCTCTGGTTCTAAGGACATCTCACAGGGAGCATGGGGTGAAGTTGAAGAAGAGCATGTGCCCTCCCAGCACCCTAATGTGCTCTTGTTATATGTATTTGTTGTGTGACTCCTGCATGTCACTCTCGTGTTCAAATACGATGGTTTGATATTTCACAGCAAAAATAATTGAAGCCATCCAGATAGACGTTAGAATGTGAACTACTAAATGCGTAAGAAGTACTAAGACCTCCCTTTTCTTTCTGTCAGGAGAGAGAGTTGTGGATCAGAATTTGGAGCTTGCACCCGTGGTCTGGGAGGGACTGAGTGACCTGTTAGAGCTAGTGCAGGCTCAGGAACTCAGTTATTCCTTAGTGCAGTCATATTAGTGTTATCATTTTGCAAGGAATATGGTAAAAATGTTAACATTAGGAGCAATATACGCTTTCTTTCTTTCTTTTTTTTTTTTTGAGACAGAATCTTGATCTGTCGCCCACACTGGAGTTCAACAGCACCATCTTGGCTCATTGCAATCTCTGCCTCCTGGGTTCAAGCAGTTCTCCCGCCTCAGCCTCCCGAGTAGCTAGGATTATAGGCACCCACCACCAAACTCAGCTAATTTTTTTTTTATTTTTAGTAGACATGGGGTTTCACCATGTTGGCCAAGCTGGTCTCGAACTCCTGACCTCAGGTGATCCGTTTGCTTGGCCTCCCAAAGTTCTAGGATTATAGGCGTGAGCCACTGCACCTGGCCTATGCTTTCTTAATATGAAACTAGATTGTCTTGACTTGATAGAAAAATTAATCCTTGCTATGGTGAGGTGTATTTGCTTCTTTGGTAATCTGTGAGGAAACGGGATTCATGGAATCAGAGATAGTTCCTTGCCACTTTGGACCTGATAAAATCTGGAAAGAAGAAAGATTGTTATTATTTGGCTAAAATCTGAAGCTTAACATGGGTTGAGAGAAAGGAAGTGTCCACGAGAAATTCTTTTCTTCTTAAAACCTAGATCTAAAAGGGCTGTTACTTATGTGATACAAGGGAATGAGTTATTATTATTATTATTATTTATTATTTTTTTTTTTGAGAGGGAGTCTTGCTCTGTCGCCCAGCCTGGAGTGCAGTGGCACGATCTCGGCTCACTGCAACCTCCACCTCCTCGGTTCAAGCGATTCTCCTGCTTCAGCCTCCTGAGCAGCTGGGATTACAGGCACCCGCCATCACGCCCAGATAATTTTTGTATTTTTAGTAGAGATGGGGTTTCACCATGTTGGTCAGGCTAGTCTCAAATGATCCACCCACCTCGGCCTCCCAAAAGTGCTGGCATTACAGGCAGGAGCCACTACGCCTGGCCTGGGAATGAGTTATTTAGATAAATCAGCAACTTCTAGTCCTTTTACTCTACAATTCTCTGTAATAGTTCCCTGGTGTGACAGGAAATAAAATAGTGTAGATCCACTAAAGCAGTGAGAGTGATTTCTTTTTCTCCCTGAGGAAGCCTGGAGAGGCAAGAGGACGGTGGCAGGGGCTGAGATACGATGGCCATGGTTAGGGAGGGGATGCACCTCTCCCCATCACCTTGGGTTTGCTAGGAGGGGCCAACTTTTGATCCACTGAGCTGCAAGTGGCTCTCCTAGCAAGAGAGAACATAAGGCTGATTTATCTGAATTCTCATTCCCTTCTGTCCATAGGAGAGTCAAGAACCCCCAGTAGGAAGGAAAGGAAGGGTCTTATTATCACTCAGGGAAGCAGAAGGACCATGGCCTGGGCCTGGTATTCATGAAGGGCCTTTGCTATTATTGCCATATAAGATCACACTGTCATTGTATTTATTGGTTGAACTCAAAGTTTTGGTTGGTTAAAAACAAACATTTAAATCATATCACTGTTATATTGACTCATTTCTGGCATTTCTTCATTTTAAAATATACCCAGAGGCTGAAAACTAGAAGTCTAGTCCTCTTGACACATGGCAGGCGAGCCCCAGATTGGGGTTTAGCTTGGAAGGATTCTTTGCTTCTCCCAGGAAAACACTCAAGGGTGAGCCTGTAATAGAAGAGAACAGCTTTATTGAAGTGGCAGTGTTACAGCCTAGGCGGTGTTACAACTCCGTGACTGCTTCTGCAGAGCAGGGCTTCCCCATTGGCAGTGTGCTGAGACTAACAGCTCAGGGCAGTTCTGCAGTCATGTTTACACCTACTTTTAACTGCATGCAGATTAAGGGGTGATTTATGCAGAAATTTCTAGAGAAACGGTAGAAACCTCTGGGTCATCAGGTCATTGCCATGGGAAGGAGCAGTAAATCCCGAGTGTTGCCATGTTAGTGGTAAACTGACAAGGCACACGGGTGGGCGTGTCTTAAGGAAAGCTGCTTCCACCCGTCCCTATTTTAGCCCTTCTCAATTTGGTTCAGTGTCTGAGCCCCCACTCTGAAGTCAAGTCCTGCCTCCTACCTCCATCCCTCTGAGTAGCCCTGCTTGCTGCACCCAGGTGATAGGTAGAAAGTGAAATCAGCTACGACAGTTGCAGAAAGTTACTCATGGTTCTGTATGCTTTGAAACAGTGTGAAAATGACATTCTCCCCTTCTTTTCTTTCTTTCTTTTTTTTTTTTTTGAGATGGAGTTTTGCTCTTGTTGCCCAGGCTGGAGTGCAGTGGTACAATCTCGGCTCACTGCAACCTCCGCCTCCCAGGTTCAAGCGATTCTCCTGCCTCAGCCTCCTGAGAAGCTGGGACTACAAGCATGCGCCACCATACCCGGCTAATTTTGTATTTTTAGTGGAGATGGGACTTCTCCATGTTGGTCCGGCAGGTCTCGAACTCCCAACCTCAGGAGATCTCCCTGCCTTGGCCTCCCAAAGTGCTGGGATTGATTATAGGTGTGGGCCACCACGCCTAGCCTGACCACTTTTATAGATTTCACATGTAAGTGAGATCATGCAATATTTTTCTTTCTATGTCTGGCTCATTTTAAATAGCATAATGTCCTCCAGGTTCCTCCATGTTGTGGCAAATGACAGGATCTCCTTTTTAAAAGGCTGTATAGTAATCCATTGTGTTTATTATTATTATTATTTTTTAATCTTTGTTTTTTTGAGACAGGGTCTTGCTCTGTTGCCCAGGCTGGAGTGCAGTGGTACAATTGAGGCAGGAGAATAGAGTCTGGAGGCAGGGAACATAAGGCCAATTCATACTGACTTCCTTGAACTAAATCAGATGGAAACACTTCAGCTATGTTAGGAAATATCCTCTCCATTTACATAGGATGTACGCTGAGTAAATGACTTTGTAACTTTACTTCATCCTCTTCATTTACATAGGGCATACCTCAAGTAACCAGTGGAAACCTCTAGAGGGCATTTAAACCCCAGAAAATTCTGTAATGGGGCTCTTGAACCCCTATGCTCAGGCCTGCTCCCACCCTGTGGAGTGTACTTTCATTTTCAATAAATCTCTGCTTTTGTTGCTTCATTTTTTCCTTGCCTTGTTTGTGCATTTTGTCCAATTCTTTGTTCAAGATGTCAAGAATCTGGACTCTCTCCATTGGTGACACAATCATGGCTCACTGCAGCCTCGACCTTCCGGGCTCAAGTGATCTTCCCACTTCAACCTCCCAAGCAGCTGAGACCACAGGCACATGCCATCACGCCTGGCTAATTTTTTATTTTTATTTTTGTAGGGACGGGGTTTCACCATGTTTCTCAGGCTGGTTTTGAACTCTAGGCTCAAGCAATCCATCCACCTGCCTTGGCCTCCCAAAGTGTTGGGATTACAGGTGTGAGCCACTGTGCCTGGCCACCATAGTTTCTTTATCCATGCTTTTTTTGTTTTTTTGTTTTTTTTTCTCAAGTCAGTAACTTTTTAATAAAATGAGCAGAATCCCATCATTACAGTTCTTTGTTACGTGAATTCAAATACACAGCAGACCAATCATGTTCCCTGAAATTTAACAATCATACTTAAAGGCCTGTTAGTGCTATCTCTCAAGACTCTAATTCTAAAGGGCTTCCTTTGAATTCCCTTTATAAAGCTTTGTGCAAAGAGCTTAAGCACCAGTAAGAAAGACTGTTGCTAGCATTTTTATTTCATCGTCAACAACAAACATGCAGTTTCTTTCTCTGATGTGCATGGCACTGTAAAATGGGTGCTACACTCTGTCTTGTGGTACAAAGTTTATAAATACAATATACCGATACAAAGTTGAAGCCATTAAAAAGAGCTTAATAACAACCACGAGGAGACAATTACATCTGGAGTGCTGATGGAATCTATGAAGAGATTTAGAAACAAGACATAAACTCAAACACTATGGTAAAAGTTTTACTTGGGAGGGGGCCAGAGAGGAACTTTTTATGTGCTACTGAAAGATTTTTAAAGTTGCTCCAAATTTACTTTCTTTCTGCTATTATCTTTAAATACTGCAAAGTATTGTGAGCTGCATCACTTTATGCATTGCTGCAGGAGATACCGGAGCCATGACAGACCGTGATGAGGTTGGTGGACAGTTCAGCAAGACATTGATACTGTCCATTGGCGCTCAGTTTATCTATATCCAAATATGTTATATTAAAACCTTGTTCCTTGGCAATTTCACTAAGCGGCTGGATGTAATCTGTATTTGGAATACTAAGGAGGCTTCTTTTCAGTAAGTTGATCTTTTCACCAGGAGAATTCCTCAAGGAATGCCAAGTACATCCTAAAGAATGTCCCACTACATTTGTTAAAGAAATGTGGTTCTCTGGAGAAATATTACTAAATTTGGCGAGAAATTTCTCAGCAGCACTCCTTTTGGCTTGCTTTTTTGATGCCCCCTTTCCAGTTTCCATAAATGACTCTAGCCTGCAAACTGTGGTATATTCTCTCTTATGAGCAGGTCCTCCCTCCTGGGAAAGGGTATATTCAGGAAGTCTCCAGCCATGATGAAAAGCCAATTCCTGTAAAGAACCAATAGGATTAAGCTGGTTCTTTGGTTGTTTGGAAGGGTCAGACATTAAGGGGTCAGGAACTGCAAAGCAAATACTTGCATTGTCTTTCAAAATGTTTATGGCAGCCTCTGCAGCTCTATGTTTCACCAGCTTCTTACTTGTACCTTCATCTCTGCAGGTTATGTCACCAACGGTTACTCTGAAGGTGAAAGTGGGCACGTGTATTTGCACATCAGATCTTTCACATTCATAAACTGGGATGTTCTTGGTCTTCATGCCGTATTCGTGTAATACCTGAATCGGTGTTTTCCCTGGCATAGCTGTTATCATCTTCCCCAAACTGAAGGTCCCACTGTCCTCGCGCTCCAGAGGCAGAGCCTCGGCGGGTACCTGCTCTGGGACATGGCGAGAAGGGACTGCTCCGCGGCTGGTGGAAGAGCCGTGCGGAGCGATGTGCTTGCTCCCCGGGTAGCTGGTCCGCAGGAGGGGCTCCAGCGCTGCCACCTCCTCCGACTCCCCCTCTCCATTCGTTTGTTGATGGACTTGTACCTTGTTTCCATATCTTGGCTATTGTGCATGATGCTGCAGTGAATGTGGGAGTGCAGATATCTTTATGTGGTAGTGATTTCATTTCATTTGGATATATACCCAGGAGACAGACTGCTAGGTCTTATGGTAGTTCTATTTTTTTTCTTAAAATTTTTTTTTTTCCTGACTACAAAGGCCCAGAGATCTTTCCAGTTCTCTGTTGATCCTGAGACTAACAACTGGAGACTGAGGCCGGAGCAGCTGGCAGCTGTGCTTGTCCGTTTCCTGTCAGATCCATTCCAAGTTTCCTCCGGACCCGTCCCACGGTCCCTCCACAGGAGCGTGAGAGGATGGGGAAGCACTGTGGGGAAACCACCAAAGATGGCTGGACAGTGGGAGAGAGCACGTCGTGAAGCATCCCAGCCTCGTGTTGAGGTTCCAAACTTAGAAACAAACCTCTCTGTACAGGGGGATTGTGGTGAGTGACAGTCAAGGCCATGGTGGGTGTTTTCTCACTCTCGAATGCAAGTGGAAGAGAGAAAATGACTCAGGACGCCATTGTAACGGTTCCTGGAAGCTGGACCCTCTCATTGGCATATACACTGCTCTTCGCCGCAGGGCACAGTCCCACCGGGATCCACTTCCAAAGTTTGTCTCGGCGGTTGAAGGCCTCGCTTAGTTGTACTGGATTCTCAGGGAGCCCTCTGTGACCTTTGGCTTTGAGTGCTGTGTTTCCCTTTTACGGGAGGGCAGCATTGTGGAAATTCCTGTTTTCCCTGTAGCATATTCTGTTGGATTGCATTACTGGCTGAGAAAGGACAAGTTGCCATTCAAGTCTAGGGTAGGCTTCCAGCTGCCTTAATAGAAGTACTCAAGTCTTTTGAGTAGTGAGCTGGAAAGCCTACAGGAAAAGACGGGCACCTATTTTCATTTGAAAATTTTGATTCATGGAACCTTTAAGCCGGCGTGGTGGCTCACGCCTTAATCCCAGCACTTTGGGAGGCCGAGGCCTGTGGATCACAAGGTCAGAAGATTGAGACCATCCTGGCTAACACGGGGAGACCCTGTCTCTACTAAAAATACAAAAAATTAGCTGGATGTGGTGGCGGGCGCCTGTAGTCCCAGCTACTCGGGAGGCTGAGGCAGGAGAATGGCGTGAACCCGGGAGGCGGAGCTTGCAGTGAGCCGAGATCGCCTCACTGCACTCCAGCCTGGGAGACAGAGTGAGACTCCATCTCACAACAAACCAACCAACCAACCAACCAACAAACAAGCAAACAAACCTAATCTCAGATAAATTTTTGGTGCCCATGCGGCTATAGTTGTTCACTGCTTTTCTGGATGGATGGGACTCTGATGTTGTAACTTCTGACCTCCTTTGGCCCTTAGCTAAGGCCATCCTTCCCCACAGGGGTGGCTTTGGGATTGGATGCTACAGCTTTCGTGTCCGTGTAGTACACCTGTACATACCTGTTTCAAGCAGCCTTTCTTTAATGTTTTTGGTTGGTTTTATTCTGTAGCTCAGTAGCTGGTAATAAAGTTAAAGATCCTGAAAAAAATTTTTTTTTCCCTGACTACAAAGACCCAGAGGAGATGGTAGTTGTATTTTTTTTTTTTTTTTAAATTAAGAAATAGAGATGGGGTTGCCTAGGCTGGTCTTGAACTCCAGACCTTAAGCAGTCTTTCTACCTTAACCTCCCAAGAGTCTGGGATCACAGGCATGAGCCACTGCACCCTGCAGATAGCTCTGTTTTTAATTCTTTAGGAACCTCCTTACTGTTTTCCATAATGCCTACATCAATTTATATTTGATTATTGGGTTGTTTCTTCAGGACTCACTCTCTCCTGAGGCCCTAGGGGACTCTTAAGGAAGTGTGGTTAAAACATAATATCAGGAGAAAGCACTTCTGGAATGGTGGAATAAACACTTCTGAAAATCTGCTCTTCTGTAACAGCAGCAAGAACATCGGCAAAAGTTGTCAATATCAAGTTTTTCAGAACTCTAGAAATTAACCAAAGGCTTACAGCAATCTGAAGAGTTTTTTCAAGAAAAGCGTTGGCTTTCATAAGAACGGTGAGCTTTGTGGTGTTTTAACTTGTCCTATTTCCACCCCTTCTTCCTAGCTCTATGGTGGCCTTGAAACCAGCAGCCTTGGAACCATAGTCACTGAAAACCAGAGGCCTAGCAGCCATTGGACGTGGTAGAGTGGGTTTCAAGATCCCCAAAGACCTGGTTGCCAGAGAATTGTCACTATTTGACCTGTCTAGAAGATCCCTGAGAAAGCCTCATTCATAGGGCTTATCTTTATTTGGTCACTGAGGAAAGCCCTTTCCCCAGGGCATTGGTCAAATAATCAGTGGCAATTTACAAATTGCAGTTGCCTGAGATAGTGATACACACTGGGGCAAAATCAGGCTGGCCAAAATCTTACAGAGAAAATCTGGGGATGTTCATAGGGAACTTGCAAAGCTCTCACTTATTCCTGGGGGTCTAGAAGGCAACACACATGCGCAAGGTTGAGCACTTCTCACTTCTGGCTCACCTTAAAGCCCTGTGCAAGCAGCAAGTGAAGGCTAGGTCAGAGTAATGAACTGCTGGAGTATTGAAGGCATCACACACACACACACACGCACACGCACACACATGCCCCTCAACAAAGGGTGGGAGATTTAATGGTCAAAGGCATTTAAGGAAATCTCTGTTTCAGCAGTAGCTGACTGCTAAGCTAACCAAGCTGACACACGTGACAAAGAATACAAAATTTACAGACTTAGTCCAGGAAAGTCACTAAACAAACACACACACGAGAGCAGCAATAGCAGCAGCAGCAGCCACAACAAACAGCAACAACAAAAAGTCCTGAGGGAGTAGGAATCTGATTTCTGAAGTTGCCACAGTGTATTACTTAAAATACTGTGGTTCCCTACAAAGAACTCAAACAAATTTACAAGGAAAAAACAAACAACCCCATCAAAAAGTGGGCAAAAGATATGAACAGACACTTCTCAAAAGAAGACATTTATGCAGCCAACAGACACATGAAAAAATGCTCATCATCACTCGACATCAGAGAAATGCAAATCAAAACCACAATGAGATACCATCTCATACCAGTTAGAATGGTGATCATTAAAATGTCAGGGAACAACAGGTGCTGGAGAGGATGTGGAGAAATAGGAACACGTTTACACTGTTGGTGAGACTGTAAACTAGTTCAACCATTGTGGAAGACAGTGTGGCGATTCCTCAAGGATCTAGAACTAGAAATACCATTTGACCCAGCCATCCCATTACTGGGTATATACCCAAAGAATTATAAATCATGCTGCTATAAAGACACATGCACACGTATGTTTATTGCGGCACTATTCACAATAGCAAAGACTTGGAACCAACCCAAATCCCCATCAATGATAGACTGGATTAAGAAAATGTGGCACATATACACCATGGAATACTATGCAGCCATAAAAAAGGATGAGTTCATGTCCTTTGTAGGGACATGGATGCAGCTGGAAACCATCATTCTCAGCAAACTATCACAAGAACAGAAAACCAAACACTGCATGTTCTCACTCACAGGTGGGAATTGAACAATCAGATCACTTGGACACAGGAAGGGAAACATCACACACTGGGGCTGGTTGTGGGGTGGGGGAGGGGGGAGGGATAGCATTAGGAGATATACCTAATGTAAATGACGAGTTAATGGGTGCAGCACACCAACATGACACATGTATACATAGTAACAAACCTACACATTGTGCACATGTACCCTAGAACATAAAGTAATAATAAAAAAAAATTGTGGTTCCTGTGAAAGATGCCAGTGGCAACAGCTTTGCCATCCAGTTGTCCAACATTTTTGTTACTGGCAAAGGCAACAAACCATAGATTTCTCTTCCCTAAGGAAAATGTATCCACCTCACCATTGTCAAAGAGAGGGACAAGAGACTGATTGATGGTCAAACAGAGCAGTGGGTAAAATGGTCTCTAGGTGACATGTTGGAAAGGTCTTTGCATTTAGTCAAAGATAATACAGTATGATTAGAAAATAAAATGTTGACCAGGAGCGGTGGCTCACACCTGTAATCCCAGCACTTTGGGAGGCCGAGGTGGGCGGATCACCTGAGGTCAGGAGTTTGAGACCAGCCTGCCAACATGGCAAAACCCTGTCTCTACTAAAAATACAAAAAAATCAGCTGAGCATGGTGGCATGTGCCTGTAATCCCAGCTACTTGGGAGGCTGAGGCAAGAGAATCACTTGAGCCTGGGAGGTAGAGGTTGCAGTGAGCCGAGATCATGCCACTGCACTCCAGCCTGGGTGACAGAGCGGGACTCTGTCTCAATTAAAAAAAAAAAAAAAAAAAGAAAGAAAGCAATCAATGGGCTTGTTTCTCTGAGAACTCTGAGAAAGCTCAGATGTTGGACTTATTAGACGACAATATTTCCTTATAATCCTCTCTATTTCTGTAAGAGCAGTAATGATGTCCCCTCCTTCATTCCTGATTTAATTGGACTCTTTCTCTTTTTTTTTTTTCTTTGTCAGTCTAGTTAAGAGTTTGTCAACTTTGCTAATCTTTTCAAAGAATGAACTTTTCATTTTGTTGAATTTTTCTCTATTGTTTTTCTATTTTCGATCTCTCTCCTTCCTTCCTTCCTTCCTCTTTCTCTTTCTCTCTTTCTTTCTCTTTCTTTCTTTCTTTCTTTCTTTCTTTCTTTCTTTCTTTCTTTCTTTCTTTCTTTCTTTCTCTCTCTCTCTCTCTCTCTCTTTCTTTCTTTCTTTCTTTCTTTCTTTCTTTCTTTCTTTCGTCTCTCTCGCCTTTTTTTTTTTTTGAGACAGCCTCACTCCATCACCCAGGCTGGAGTGCAGTGGTGCAGTCTTGGCTCATTGCAACCTCCACCTCCTGTATTCAAGCGATCCTCTCACCTCAGCCCCACAAGTAGCTGGGACTACAGGTG